ATACAAAATATTGCTAGGATAGTTTGTCTCCGTTGATTCATCTTTGATATCTTAGGCTAAAAACCCTAGAGACCATGCTGATTTACGCGCGCCAATTTTTCAAAATCAGACTAGTTTTCCACACGCTTTATCTCTAAAACGAAATCCGTGCCCAATTTTTGTTTCGTATCTGAAACCAGTGATTCATTATCTGTCCGCGGCAGAAGTTTGAAGAAAATATATCGAGTAGAACATTTTCGCGCCAACGTCTTTAATCTTTATCTTGGTGATGTAGGAACATTTCGTGTATGAGAGAACGTACTCAGTCATAATTTAGCGCTGCTTTGACCAAAAATTCAGCAATAATGACGTCAAAGTGTCCCTTCGAGTCTTTTACATGTTTAATACGCCATAGATATTTGAACCAATGGAACCATCTACTTACACATCAATGGCGCTCTACAACATCGGGGCCATAACCATGGAAAGATCCGCCAGTGTGGGAGTGAGTGATGTTGAAATAAGGGACGCAGAGTGTTTCCTGGAGAAGGCAGCACAACACTGGAGTCATCAACGACTAAACACGACAGCCCGCATGCTTCCTCGAAAATATAACAGATTGATCTCCCTTTATCTCAAGTCCTCACCAAACGGCGCACCCGACCTGAACATTGCGGTATCCCAAGACAACCTAACCCGTGCTGGCGCCATAATCACTCAATATCATAGCCTGTTATCTCGCAGTTCGAATTGGATGAACAGTACTTTTTACCTTGGTAAGACAGACTACTGCATCAGGTCAGGGGATATCGACGGTGGTAAGTCGCAGTTATCAGTTAGTCAGTAATTATCTTGTGTATCCTTGTCAACACAACCTCCACCACGAATACATTCGATTTCAGATCAATTAAGCTGGTATTTCTAAACTGATTTCTCGGTTAATTAGGTGACTGACCGACTGACTGACCGACTGACCGACTGACCGGTTTATTGTCAGACTGACTCACAAACTCACTCGCTCATGGACTGACCGATTGACTGCTTTCTGTCTAGCATACTAACTTATCAATTGATTGATTAGTTCATTTGTTACATGTAAGTGACAACAGAAGCGTATCACCTCGATATCCTTCTGGTGACAATGATTGATTGACCTCCGACCGACGACCGACTGCTACCGGACCGACGAACACATCACATGGACACCCACATAATCTTTTTTGCAGGTCTCACGGCTGCCCAACAAGCTCTGGATATTTCTGTGCAGTCCAAATTTGTAAGAGAGACAACAGGAGCAATAGAACGAATAAATCTACTAAGGGAGCTTGATGACCTCAGACGACGACCACCAGAATTGCCTGACCGCCTGTAGACACTATTCATCCCATAATGTGGGGGTGAAGTTCAATCTGGAAGTAAAAGGACGATCTCACTATGACATTCTTGTGTGGAATACCTGTGGTATCCCACCGTATTGTCAACGGCTCCTGTCCGTTAATGCAAATGAGTTTGTATCCCATACATGTACCCTTTGGGTACCTAGTTTTATTCACAGTAATCGTGACAACAGTCGACTGATCGGAGAAGTTTATAACGTGCCACAACGAACGTTATTGACAAGTCACTCGACATTGGCGAGCTTTAGTCAAGCCTCGGCGGCAACGGCAACAGAAAAGTCACTAACAAAAACGGAGTGGCAATGCGCAAGCGTAATAAATATTGCCGAGTTAATTTCTTTAGCCTTCCTATGCAACGCGAACTCATCAAATTCCTTGTATTTCAGTAAAGAACGTGGACCACAATATCCACGAAAGCCAGGACATTTTTTAAACTGACCGTCTTTCATGTGGACTGAGACCAACAGATGCACCGAAGATTTGCAGCTGATTGTCATCAGATTCCTAAGCAAAATTTAAAAAAAGGTTTTAGTCTACATTAGCCTTGGTGTTGCCGTCGTGATAGCTAGAGGTCGCTAATGTTCGGTAGCCGACTTTCTATAGACATTTGTTTCTCATTTTCCATGGTTTTGAAACTAAATGCTGCCTTTCTAATAAATGAATAGAATGAAGAAGGAGGCGTGGCCGAGTGGTTTAGGGAGCTGGGTTTGAAATCTGGAGGTTCCTGATTCAAATCGTTCTCCCTACCGCTATCTTGATTTGTTCTCGGTAGTCCCGAGTTCAACTCCTCGACCGCGTTGTGAAAATTTCCAACTGGTCAGCCTCCTACCAGTTAGGATTCTTAATAGTTGTTGTTCCATTGGCAATATTTGTTTACTTATTTACCGTGTCCCCAATTTGCATAATGTTTCTGAAAAAACCCAACAACAGGGAAGCAAAGACAATTGTAAAATAATGACAACAGAAAAGGCTATAGTCTGTTTTGCAAGAAATGCAAATATTATTTATCTTTATTTATTTTATTTATGGTATTAATATATTAGTTTGGACCACTCTATATGATACTAATTTTAAACTGATGTATTTATTTCAATCACCATAAAAAAGTTCGGACGTGTACAAAATATTCTTAATATAATTTAATATTCTTTGGAGTGACACTGATTTTCCTGCACTGTCATAATTAAACTTATTTCATTGTTCAAACCGGTGCAGTTTTGTTTTCTCATTCCAACTTACCGTTTTTTGATCGCCAGGAAAAGAACTACCCGCTTTTTGGTTCCAAAAGATACAACGCAGTTTCCATGAATCATCAGTCTTGAAACGAATCGCCGTAAATTACTATGAGTAATTCGAAAAAGAAAAAAGTTCTTACGTTAAGGTTAATACCTGTACGAGGTTATAGCGGAGCTCCGGCGGCCCGAAGGGTCACTAAGCGGAGCCCCATGAAAAGGAAACCCAAGAATAGGTTTTCTCATAGTTATCATGGCTAGCGGTATTGGTGGTGGGCGAGTGCGCACGACGACGGCGGCGACGATGGAGTCGCGCAAGATGGCCGCCATATTCCAGGTCATAGGTTCATAGCTTAATTAATAACACAAACAGCGGTGATAAGCATTTTAAAAACATGCATTTTGTGAACTTGACCTTTCGTATGCTAGTCAACATACATTTTCCCAATCTTTTTTTAAAAGCTATTTATACTGTATTAAATCTCCCAATGTAAAAATCATTGCAGTCCCAGCAACTAGCTTTATAAATGACTTTGGATAATTGTGATCAGTTGCGACGGTCCTTGTATGGAAAAAAGGATTTGATGCGCCGGGTGTTTTGAAAAATAACTTTGACATTTACAAAGAAGTAGAAACAATTAACACAAGATTTCAGACGCTTGGTAATATAATTGTTATGGAGACCTATATAAGGTAATAAAACAATAACATCTTTTTGGGGGACTGTCTCTATGAGTTCATTTGGCTTGTTCTTGTTCTTGTTCAGGACATCATTGATATTAAGAGTGATGATGCGCTGAGGGTAACTATTTTGCAGCAGACGTCTTTTGAGATCCTCGACAGCATATTGCAACAATGAAGCGGTGGAGCAAATACGGAAGCATCGATAGGTTAGCGTGCGGATAAGGTTGATTTTGTATTTGTGTGGTGTAAATGAATCCCATTTGGTATAGAATCCAGTATCAGCCTTATCCGCGTTTATAGCGTCCTTCTTTGATATTGGACATCCCTTTTATTGTCAATTGACACCTTTCAAAACAAAGTATCTATTGACCAATATCACGTGACCATATCGCGGGCTCAAGTTTAGATCTCAACGAGGTCACGTGTTTTTTGAAATTCACCGTTGACCAGGTGCTCGTTTTATATTGTATCGCGGGCTCATGTCAGGTTAACTCGTTGTAAACAGGGCCGGGTTGTTCGGAAGTCGGTAAATGTTAACCCAAGATTAAAAGTTAACTGACGCATACATTTGTCTTGTATACAAACGTTTTTCACTGCTTTTTTTTTGTGTATTTTGAGATAATTCAAATTCAAAACAGAAAGCAAAACAATATACAGAAAACCTCACCGCAAAGTTGCAAAACTCAATTCAAAATTCTCGTGTATCCTGGGTTGGTTTAATCGGGCTTTGAACTACCCGGCCCAGAACCGGAGCTCCGCTTTCAGGCTTGGCTAAATCTATATATTACGCTGATCATACGTGAAACACAAGCGCAAGTATTGTTCACGCGAATACATGTAAAGTAAGTACAAGTGATATGCTTCTGGTACAAGCAATGTCTACTATTGTAATGCAAGCGTAAGGAACGATAAGCACGCGTGGAGATTACGTTTTCTTTTGTGTGTTTAACTCTAACCACTAACCCTTTAACCCCTAACCCTAACCTCATGTTTGCTTATTTTACTCCAAAATACCATGTTTGCTTATTTAGAGGCTAAGGTCGCTGAACAGGTCTAAAATACACTTTTTAAATACAAGAAGCACAATGTGCAAAGAAACTAATGTTTAAACAGATTTCAGAAGATTATCTTTAGTGATTGGGAATAGTTCTGTAGAAGTCATCCTTTCTTGATCAGTAACAGTACGGCAGCCTTCGGTCTGCTGCCAGAACGATAAAGACGATGATGATGATTTTATTCATATTGCGAGAAGGCAATTAAACTGACTAAANTCCCAGTGTAAAAATCATTTGCAGCCCAGCAACTCTTTATAAATGACTTTGGATAATTGTGATCGGTTGAGACGGTCCTTGTATGGAAAGAATGATTTGATGCGCCGGGTGTGTAGAAACGATTTACACAAGATTTTAGATGCTTAGTTATATGATTGCTATAGAGACCTATATAAGGTAATAAAATAATAACATTTTTTGGGGGGGACTGTTGCTACGGGTTCATTTGGCTTGTTCTTGCTCTTGTTCAGGACATTGATATTAAAAGTGATGATGCCCTGAGAGTAGCCATTTTGCAGCAAAAGCCTTTTGAGATCCTCGACTGTGAAAGAGCACATTATTCCATTATTATGTAAGATTTAGCCCAGTCTGCAAAACGAAATGAATCTTAAACTGTATGTTGATTGGTGGATATCGGCTGAAGTATGCTAACAAGGGAAGACGCCGGGTTGTAATTGTGCGTGTTCACTGAGGAAACAATAGGGCGGAAGGGGCATCCAGTCTTGTGAACCTTTGGGAGGCCATATAAAACACCTGGGGAAGACCCACCGGGTAAAATATTCTGGAAAACTGTGTCATCAATTATTCCATCCTTTCGTAGTTTGCGGAGGTAAGAAGAAAGGCTCTCTTCCTTACCTTTAGTGGGATTTTGTGTCAATGGTTTGAATTTGGTGTTATCAGAAGGCAACTGCTTCATTTTGTTAAGATAGTCAAGTCTGCTAACAATAACAATGCCATTTCCTTTGTTTGGTTTCGTAATTAGGGACTGCAATAATCACCTGGAGGGTCGGATTGGAAAATTAGAGGCGGGGGGGGGCATAAGAGAAAATGACAACAAGAGAGAGGGGGGATTGGATGTAAAATTTAATACATACACGGGGGAGCATTACTTTTTCATTTTTGCAAACTGGAAAAGTAGTGGAAGAGTTACTAGAGTTCAAATATTAATACTAACACTGGAATAAAACTGACAAATTTATCAACTCTATTAAAGGTGTTCTGATCTACGAACTGCTGTTTTCTTATCTGTCATGCAGTAGGAAAGGAATTCCACTGTTATATATGTTAAAACAGTGCTACTTTATTTG